AGTGTTGATTCCAACCGGAAATAAACTTTCTGTTCCTAACAAACTAAGTGAAGGATGCCTTTCATACACACTTATCTCTAAGGACTACGCTTGTGGAGAGACGTTCATTAATCTAGCACAATGGAACAGGTTGATGGAGAGACAGTTACTCTGCTTTCTCATTTGTATCCTAGTGCTGGATTGATGTTCCTCCTGTTTTCACTTTAAACTGAGTTAGAGATAGTACCTCCCCATATATATGTATGTAGTATAGTTTACAACTGAACAGAACCTTTGTGTTCCAAACAAGCTAGGTGAAAGACGGCATTCACAAACATTTGTCTCTCAGAATTGAGCATGTGAGGAGACAATCTTTCATCTTGCATAAAGGGAACAATTTGCAGGAGAAACACTTACAGTGGTTTCTCAGTCTCTTTCCAAGTACTGGTTGGTGATTCTTACATTTTTCACTGTAATACCGAGTTGGAGCTAGTACCAAACTGTATATATGTATGTAGTATAGATTCCAACTGAAAAGAATCTTTGTGTTTTCAACAAGCTTGATGTAGGAAGGCTATCACACTCACTTACCTCTCTGAATTGAGCATGTGGAGAGACTTTCATTCATCTTGAAGAAAGGGAAAGGGTGGCAGGAGAAACAGTTACTCTGGTTTCTCAGTCTGTTTCCTAGTGGTGGTTTGAGTTTCCTGCAGTTTTTACAGTAAAACCATGTTGGAGCATGAACCAACCCTTATATATGTATGTAGTATAGTTACAAACTTAAAAGTAACTTTGTTTTGCAAACAAGCTTAGGGAAGGACACCATTCACACACACTTATCTCTCACAAATGAGCATGTAGAGAGATGTTCATTCATCTAATACACAGGGAACAGGTTGCAGGAGAAACATTTACTCTGGATTCTCTGTTTCAAAGTGCTAGGTTGAATTTACTACAGTTTTACCTGTAAAACAGTATTAGAGCTAGTATCTCCCCATACATATGTATGTAGTGTACTTTTCAAATGAAAAGAAACTTTGTGTTCCCCACAAGCTATTTGAAGGACGACTTTCACACACACTGGTCTCTCAGAAGTGAAAAATTGGAGAGACTTTCATTCGTCTAACACATAGGGAATGTTTTGCAGAAGAAACCCTTACTCTAGTTTCTCAGTCTGTTTCCTAGTGCCGTTTGAAATTCCTTCAGTTTTGACTGTAAATCTAATTTGGAGCTAGTACCTCCCCATATATATGTATGTAGTGTACTTTACAACAGAAAAGAAACTTTGTGTTCCCATCAAGCTAGATGAAAGACAGCTTTCACAAACACATATGTCTCAGGAATGAGCATGTGGAGAGACATTCGTTCATCTAGCACAAAGGGAACAGGTTGTAGGAGAAACACTGACTCTGGTTTCTCAGTCTGTTTCCTCATGCAGGTTTGTAGTTCCTGCAGTTTTTAACTGTAAATCTGAGTCGACCTAAAGCCTACCCATATATGTTTCTGAAGTGTAATTTCCAACATAAAGGAAACTTTGTCTTCCCAACAAGCTAGCTGAAGGACGGCTTTCACACAATAACAACTCACAGAACTGAGCATGTGGAGAGATTTTCTTTCATCAAGCACAAAATAATATGTTTGCATGAGAAACACTAAATCTGGTTTCTTAGTCTGTTTCCTAGGGCCTGCTTGAAGTTCCTGCATTTTTCACTCTAAGAATGGGTTGGAGCTAGTACCTCCTCATATACATGTATATATTGTAGTTCTGAACTGAAAAGAAACTTTGAAGTCCCAACAAGCTATGTGAAGGGAGGCTTTCAAACACACTTATCTCCCAGAACTGAGCATGTGGAGAAATTTTCATCTTCTAGCACAAAGGAAATGGTTGGCAAGGGAAATATTTTCTCTGGTTTCTCAGTCTTTTTCCTAGTGCCGGTTTGTAGTTCCTGCAGTTTTCACTGCAAAACCAATTTGGAGCTACTATCTCCCCATATATATTTATGTAGTGCAGTTTCCAACTGAAAAGAAACTTTGTATTCCCAGCAATTTTGGTGAAAGGAGGCTTTCACACACAATTATCTCGTGGAACTGAGCTTGTGGGGAAACATTCCTTCATATAGCATAAATGGATATGGTTGCAGGAGAAACAATTCCTCTGGTTTCTGAGTCTGTTTCTTATTTCCGGTTTGAGATTCCTACAGTTTTCTCTGTAAAACCGAGTTGGAGTTAGAGCCTCCCAATATATATGTATGTAGTACAGTTTCCAAATGAAAAGTATCTTTGCGTTCCCCTCAACATAGGTGAAGTGTGGCTTTCACTGCCACTTCCATCTCAGAAATGAGGATATGGGGAAATGTTCTTTCATGTAGCACAAAGGGAATGGGTTGCACAAGAAATACTTACTCTGGTTTTGGAGTCTGTTTCTTAGTGCAGGATTGACGTTCATGCAGTTTCCACTGTAAACACCAGTTTGAGCTGGTAACTCCCCATATATATTTATGTAGTGTTCCCAACAGAGAAGAAACTTTGTGTTCTCAACAAGTTTCCTGAAGGTCGTCTTTCACACACAGGTATACTCAGAATGGAGCATATGGATAAATGTTCATTTATCTAGCACCATGTGAGCAAGTTACAGAAGGAAAACTTACTCTGTGTTCTCAGCCTGTTTAATAGTGTCAGGTAGAATATCCTGCCATTTTCACTGTAAAACATTGTTGGAGCTTGAAGTTCCTCATATACATGTATGTATTTTTGTTTCAAACTGAAACAAAACTTTGTGTTCCCAACAAATTATGTGAAGGATGGCTTTCACACACACTTATCTCTCAGAACTGAGCATGTGGGGAGAGTTTGTTTATCCTGCAGAAAGGGAAATGGTTGCAAGTTAAACAATTACTCTGGTTTCTCAGTCTGCTACCTTGTGCCAGTTTGAAGTCCCTGCAGTTTTAACTGTGAAACAGAGTTTGAGCTAGTACATCCTCATATAAATATATGTTGTGTAGATTACAACTAAAAAAAACTGTGTGTTCCCAACAAGCTAGGTGAAGAACTGTATTCACACACAATTATCTCTCAGAACAAAGTATCTAGACAGACGTTCATTCGTCTAGCACATAGGGAAAGGTTTGCTAGTGAAACACATTCTCTGGTTTCCTCAGTGTGTTTCTTAGTTTCGGTTTAAAATTCCTGCACTTATCACTGTAAAACTGCATTTAATCTAGGTTTTGCCCATATATATGTATGTAGTGTTGTTTCCAACTGAAATTAAAATTTGTGTTCCCAAAAAGCTTTGAGCAGGATGGCTTTCACACACAATTATTTCTCAGAACTGAGCATGTCGAGAGACATTTTTTCATCTATCACAAAGTTAAAAGTTTGCAGGAGAAACATTTATTCTTGATACTCAGTCTGTTTCTTAGTGCTGGTATGAATTTCCTGCAGTTTTCACTGTAGAAACGATTTGGAGCTAGTACCTTCCCATATATATGTGTGTAGTGTATATTCCAACTTCAAAGAATCTTTGTGTTCCCAACAAGCTAGGTGAAGTACGGATTTTAAACACACATATCTCTCAGAACTCAGCATGTGGAGAGACGTTCGTTCATCTAGCACAATAGGAACGGGTGGCAGAGGAAACACTTTCTCTTGTTTCCCAGTCAGTTTCTTAGTGCTGGTCTGAAGTTAATGCAGTTTTCACTATAAAACCGTGTGGTAGATTTTACCTGCCCATATATATGTATGTAGTATGGTTTCCAAAAGAAAAGAAACTTTGTGTTCCAAAAAAGCTAGATGAAGGAAGACTTTCACACATACTTATCTCTCAGAACTGAGCATGTGGAGAGACACACGTTCATCTAGCAGAAAGGAATGGATTTCAAGAGAAACACTTTCTCTCTTTTCTCTGCCTGTTTCTTAGTTCTGGTTTGATGTCCCTGAAGTTTTCATTGTAAGACCGAGTTGGAGCTAGACCCTACCCATATATTTGTGTGTAGCATAGTTTCCAACTGAAAAGAAACTCTGTGTTCCTAGCAAGCTATCTGATGGATGCCTTTCACAGACTCATCACTCAGAACTGAGCATTTGGAGAGAGGTTTGTTCATCTAGCACAAAGGGAACGGGTTGCAGAAGAAATTCTTACTTTGGTTTCTCAGTCTGCTCCCTAGTGCCGGTTTTAAGTTCCTGCCGTTTTCACTGTAAAATATTGTCGGAGCTGTACCTCCCCATATATATGTATGTAGTGTAGTTTCCAACTGAAGAATGTCTTTGTGCTCCCAACAAGCTTGGTGAAGTTTGGCTTTCAAACACCCTTATCTCTCAGAACACAGCATGAAGGAAGACGGTGATTCATCTAGCACAAAGGGAACATGCTGCAATGGTAACACTTACTCTGGTTTCTCAGACTGTTTCCTAGTGCTGGTTTGAAGTTCCTACATTTTTAACCGTGAAACAGAGTTGGAGCTAGTTCATTCTCAAATAAATATATGTTGTGTAAAATACAACAAAAAAAATCTTTGTGTTCCCAACAAGTTGGTGAAGGACGGATTTCACACACACTTATCTCTCAGAACAATGCATCTGGATAGACGTTCGTTAACCTAGCACTTAGGGAAAGGTTAGTAGGAGAAACACTTAACTTGGTTTCCACAATTTTTTTCCTACTGTTGGTTGAAATTCCTGTTTTTTCTCTGTAAAACTGCATTTTAGCTAGGACTTGCCCATATATAAATATGTAGTGTTGTTTCCAACTGAAAAGAAATTTGTGTTCCCAACAAGTTTTGTGAAGGACGGCTTTCACACTCACATATATCTCAGAACTGAGCATGTGGAAAGACTCTCATTCATCTAGCAAATAATTATCTGGTTGCAGGAGAAATACTTACACTGGTTTCTCAGACTGTTTCCTACAGGAGGTTTGAAGTTCCTGTAGTTTTCAGTGTAAAATAAATTTGTAGCTTGTACCTCCCCTTATATATATATGTAGTGTACATTCCAATTGAATAGAAACATTGTGTTCCCTAAAAGCTTGGTGAAGGACAGCTTCCAAACACCATATCTCTCAGAGCACAGTATGTGGAGAGATGTTGGTTCATCTAGTACAAAGGGAACTAGTTTCAGTTGTAGCAATTACTTTGGAATCTCAGGCAATTTTCTAGTGATGGTTTGAAGTTCCTGCAGTTTTCACTGTAAAACAGAGTTGGAGCTACTTGTACCAATTATATATATATATAAATTGTATTTTCCCACTAAATAGGAACTATGTCTTCCCAACAAGCTAGGTTAGGATAGCTTTCACATACATTTATCTCTCAGAACTCATCATGTGGAGTGACATTCATTCATATAGCATGATGGGAATGGTTTGAGGTGAAATACTTACTCAGTATCATCAGTTTCCTAGTGCTGGTTAAAAGTTCCTGCAGTTTTGAATGTAAACACAGGTTGGCGCTAGAACCTCCGCCTATATATGTATGTAGGGTAGTTTACAAATGAAAAGAAACTTTGTGTTCCCAACAAGCTAGGTGAAGGACGGCTTTCACACACACATATCTCACAGAAATGAGCATGTGGAGAGACATTCGTTCTTCTAGCACATAGGGAACGGTTTGCAGAGGAAACACTTACTCTTGTTTCTCAGTCTGATTCCTAATGCCTGTTTTAAATTCCTTGAGTTTGCAATGTGAAACCGAGCTGGAGCTAGTACCACTCCATATGTATGTATGTATTGTAGTTTCCAACTGAAAAGAAACATTGTCTTCCCAAAAAGCTTGGTGAAGTGCAGCATTTTCAAACACTTAATTCTCAGAAATGAAGAAGTGGAGAAATGTACTTTCATCTAGCTCAAAGGGAATGGGATGCAGGAGAAACACTTACTCTGGTTTCGTAGAATGTTTCTAGTGCAGGTTTGAATTCCTTGCAGTTTCCACTGTTAAATCAAATTTGAGCTATTACCTCCCCAAATATATGTATGTAGTGTAGTTTCCAACTGAAAAGAATCTTTGTGTTCCCAACAAGCTAGGTGTACAATGGCTTTAACACACAATTATCTCTAAGAACTGAGCATGTGTAGAGACTTTCATTCATCTAGGACAAAGGGAACGGGTTGCAGGTGAAACAGTTTCTCTGGTTTCTCAGCCTTTTTCCTAGTGCTGGATTGAAGTTTCTGCAGTTTTCACTATAAAACTGAGTTGTACCTGGAACCTCCTCATATAAATGTATGAAGTGTTGATCCTAACAGAAAAGCAACTTGGTGTTCCCAACAAGCTAGATGAAGGAAGGCTTTCACACACATTTATCTCTCAGAATTGAGCATGAGCAGACACTTTCATTCATCTATAATAAAGTAAATGGGTTGCTGAAGAAACAATTACTCTGGTTTCTCAGTTTGTTTCCAAGTGCTGATTTGAAGTTCCTGTTTATTTCACTGTAATTTTCGATTTGGAGCTAGAACTTTCCCATATATACGTATGTAGTGTGATTTACATCTGAAAAGAAACTTTATGTTCCCAACAAGCTAGGTGAAGGTCAGATTCACACAGAGATATCTCTCAGAACTCTGCTTGTGGAGAGATTTTCGTTCGTCTGGCACAAAGGTAATAGGTTGCAGGAGGAACACTTTCTCTGGTTTATCAG